ACAAACATGAAAATATTAATTTTTAAATACTCTTATCTGTAAACTATTTTCTTGAAAATTTTATATTGGCACATACAAAAGACAGTAGCCCTGAACAAAATTTACTCACACCCCCAAGAGAATTTCTGGGCTTTGTATTGTTTTGCACAGGTTAAAATAATGGGCACAAAAGCTCTGGGTCCAATTAAAGCATATTAAAGCCTAATGTTGTGCTTTACTTGACCTTAGTCATTTTGCAGCCATAATTTTAACTCAATTCATTAATAAGCTAAATAATACAAGGCACACTGATTGCATTTGGTTACAAAGTAGACAGGGAAGAAATGATTTTCAAGTCCAAAAGTATTCTGAGATGAGAATCTTTCCTGCACAATATCTTACACATTGAATACATGATTTTAAAAGGAAAGAGTACAATTAAAATTTTTATAAAATGAAAGAAAAGAAATAATTATGTGCTGTTGATTGTTTGTGTGTCCAAGGGAATTAACCTGAAAACAACATCCACATCATTTGGGCTGAATGTCTTGCGAGTAGTATTTTTTCCAAATGGGCTGAGGAGCAGGCAGGAAAGGGCTACTTGCCATTTGCATAGTAGCTTCATCAAAATAGGAGAGCCATCTCCGACACAGGTCTCTACAAGGGAAGCAGTACCCATTATTGCTTAGTTTTTAACTTGATAACTTGATAAAGTGAGACCAAAAGAGCCACTAGTCCCAATTTCTTTTTTGGGGAGGGAGGGTATATGGAATGCACTGTATTGCTCTTTTGTATGTTTTCCTTTGTAGCACAACTCAGAGAATTATTAGAAGAAGGGAGAAAAACTAATAGGTTTTTCTACATTTCTATCCCCTGTTATTAAAGCATTAATCAATTTTGCTTATGTACTTTATTTTTTGATACCATAGCTGGAAAAATGCTTACAATTGAGTTCTTCACTATTTGGGTGATGGACACCCTAAAAGCCCTGATGTTAATAAGCATTATAAAAAGTATCTATGCAACAAAAACATTTGTACCCCCTTAATATTTTGGAAAAAAAACCAGACTGAGTTCTTGACAATTCCTTCATAGATCATCTACAGCAAATGTTTAAACACAAACTGCCTTCTTCTGACTTTTTGTTCGCATCTGAGCAACTACCCATTCTCCGATAACATTAATTAAGGAAATTTACTTATTTTTATTATTATTCTAAACCAGTGGTTCCCAAAGTGTAGGAGACAGACTGTTCGGGGTTCCCAATACCCTTTCAAAGGGTCTGCAAGGTCAACCTACATTAAGACATTATTTGCCTTTTTCAGTTTCATCCTCTCACAAGCGTATGGTGGAGTTTTCTAGAAGCTATCTGATGTGCAACAGCACAACAGGTTGAATGCAAAAACAGATATGAGAATTCAGCTGTCTTTCACTAAGCCAAATATTAAAGAGATTTACAAAAGTATTTAAAATGCCACCCTTCTCATTAATTTTTATTTTGAAAGATGTAACTTTTTAACAAAAATATTGTTTATATAAACTTACAATGGGTTTATTAATATTTTTAAATGAATAAATCAAAAATTATGTAATTCTTAGTTTTAATTTATAATATGGTAAACTATCAACAGATGTAACCTACATAAACCAGAGTTCTTTGGGGTTCTCAGTTTTTAAGAATGTAAAGGCTTCCTTCATCAAAAAGTTTGATAACTGCTGGTCTAGACAATTAACTCAGAACAAATCTCTCACCAGCTCCGAGTCTCAGTCTCCTCCTCTGTCAACTGGAGGCATTAGAGCCTACCCTATCTCATATTGTGATATTAATTGAGAAATCAGCTGAGAAACTATAAACTACCATACAAATATGTATTATGGTCATCACATTGTTAGAAGAAAGGATATCTGTTACTTTTTTAAAGAAAACATTGCAGAGTCAGTGCTGTGCAGCTTTGTGATCATCCATGTCGTTACTCCCTTACACCAACAGTAGATCTGTCAAACTGAATTGGTTCCTCTGAAGGGCACCAAGGAGCAGTTCAGTACCAAGCATCATTCCCACTCTCCAAGCTGGTGACTTTAGAAAAGTAGGGATTTACCCCCAAACACTGCTAACTCCCCTCTAATAACCCACCAGTATCCTAACAACTTGCAAACTATTTCTTCTATAAAACATTTACTTTTACTCTAAAGCAACCTCCTTTAATTTTTCTGGGTAACCCACTGCTCTGATATGTTGAGATTTGATATCATTAGCACATTTTTTGAGAAACTACTAAAATATATTCCCCAGATGTTATTAAACAGTTTTTAATGTGTAATGTTTATTTCCTATATTTTATAATGTGGAATTCAATCTGACTTTTAAAGTATATTTTAAACTTCTTTGTTCTCATTTTATTTCACATGCCTAGATGGAAACCACAGTGGTGAAGCTCAACCAAAGATAAATTTGGTCAATTTATAGAGATTTGGAAATACTATTTCACCAACTTCAGAAGAAGCTCCACATAAAGGTCAAACAAGTTCTACTTAAAGAGAGAAGTGTTTCCTGAATGTTCATAATAAGATTTGTTTCAAATCTTTTGGCCATGGAATACTCCTAATGACCTCAAGGATACTGACTAAAGATTGCTCCTATGGGCTCTGCCTATTTGATCAATAAAACTGCCTGAAGAGTTTTAATGTAATATATCATTACTAACCATTAGGGGCCTATCTTCTTCTTCATTGTCATCATAAGTAGAGTAGAAATAGTTCCTCAGGTTCTTCAGGGATTTCTGCAGATTGTGACATCTCAGTCCAAACTATAAGAAAAACGTGGAGTGTGGCAGTTACTTAATGGTGCTAGTTTACCACAAGGTAAGAAGTAAAACTAACTATAATACTTAAAAAATTGAATTTAAAAAAATTGGATTAAGCAATCAAATGTAAGCAGCAAATTAGAATCTCATCCTGGCCACATTAAACTCTTCATAAAATCTTGGAAAAGTCATGTCAACTTTCCCTAACTTGGTGTCCCCACCTGTCAAATGAGGGTATTAATGCTATCTATCCTCTCTCCATACCACTCTGGGGGACAAAGCATAGGTGACCTGAGGGAAGTGACCTTTAAGTAGATAACTGAAAACTGAGCAAGGTTGTCATTAGTTGCTTCTCCTCAACTTGTGGAGAATTCTTCCAGATTAAGAGCAATTATATTTAAGTATTGAGTATCAGGTACTGTGCTAGGCATTTCTCCAGAGAAGTCTATGCCGTTGATCCTAGAGTTGTTTAGGTAATCCCATTGTGTACTTCTAGAGTACTTAGTACTTCCCTGTTGTAACACCCAATATACTTTTAATTGTTTATTGAACTATCTTTGCACCCTCCTAGCTTCACGGGGTGGCAGCTGAGTGTATCCTAATTAGACTGTATGCCCAGCACTTTTCATAATTCCCGGCATACAGGTCATGTTATGTTAATATTTGTTGAATTAAATAAATTGTTTAAAATCATTTCAAACACAATTCACATTGGAACAATAAATATTCCAGCTGTAAACAACTGTTCTCTATTCATTAAACCAAGGGGGTAAGTAAAGCGTGCATTCCTTAAAGCCAGCATACGTGTTTTCTTCATCTCTATATCCTCTACAGCCGGATTCCCAAACTTGAGCATACATCAGAATCACCTGGAGAGCTTGTTAAAACTCAGGTGACTGGGCCTCGCTCCCAGAGTTTCTGATTCAGAAGGTCTGGGGTGGAGCCAGAGAATTTGCCTTCCATACAAGTTCCCAAGTGACACTGATGCCACTGGTCCAGGGACCAAACTTTCACAACCACTGCTCTGTAGTGCCCACCAGAGTATCTTGCATATGCAAGACATGAAAGCCTTATAAAAATGGGTAACCTTTATTTTCTTTATACAAAAATACCAGACGAGTAGATTTTCCAAATTTACAATGACAGATGCACAGCCATGAATCTCATCTTGGGATGACCATGACACATACCTGTATTTGCTTTTGCCTGAACTGACACGATTGCCTCACAGACCTCCACCATAGCACTAGTGGGTTCTGATTCGGTTTCCTCAACACTTTTAAAAGCTCCCTGCTGCTTTCTGAAAGAGTGATGTATAAAAATAAGTGAGCTTTTGTATAGTCAAAGAGTAAAAAGAAATTTAAAATAGTATTTCTTTCACCAATCCCATGTGTTAAAAACATGCTCTGAGAATCCATTCAAACAGCTGATACTCCCTATTTAGGTCTGTGTGACAATAGCTTATAATATACCAAAGCTTAAATCCCAGGATCCAAGCTGGCAAGTTCTCTTTATTATGTGGGGAAAAAACTACTCCCTTCTAGACCAAAAGCAGGTATACTGTGTACAATCTCTGTTGCTCTGCGGACTTCTAACCTTAACAAATCAGATAAGGAGTGTATAAATGAAGATGAAACCTTCAACTAATTCACACTGCTGAGTTTGCATCAGCTACTGTTAAGTCAATTACTGCATGAAATCTAAAGATTTTACTCCTATAATATATGATAAAAGATTGAGTATCGTGAACCCTAGAAGATAAAGACTTTCTCTAGGACCTTTAAATGGTTTTCCTAAAGCCCCGAATGAGCCACCACATTGCACCTGATTTTAACTACCTCAGAAAGATGATGTGCAGCAAAGGAAAAAACATTATTTCTAATAAGTCATTCAATAATCCCTACAGCAAGCAGACACTGTATGGTGAATCTCTGTGCCAGGACTCTAGAATCAGTTTGGGAATTCTTTCTGCAGATATGCAAATGTGCTGTAGAAACTCCACCTCTTAAAATTTCTAGAGGCAGAATACAAAGACCACATCTCTAAACCAGCAGCGGTGTGCTATCATATAGGACTGCCACCTTTCTTAAAGACTTCCTGGTGTGTCCAGATTGCGTTCCCTCTCAAGATCCATACTTTCTCTTCAACTGTGTAGAAAGAGAGGCCAAGTCAGCAGCAAGTGGTCTCCATCAAGGGACTACAAAGCTGTGAGCCCGTCTTCCATCTGCTGTGTTCCCATATTCTTACAACTCTCTTTCTCCAATTAAATCGAAGGTGACCAAAAATACTTGTAAGAGAAAGCCATGAGTGCAGCCACCTTTCCTGTCTCCCTACATGCAACTCTTCCAATGACTTATTTAAAACAAAGCATTTGTAATCATGTTTACAAATCAGCCCATGGGGTAGTTAGGGACTATCAGGCTCCAATACAAGGCTAGAACTGAGAAAATTATGTGTTTATGGAATCTGATGAGTTATTGCTAAAATGACTAATGGTTTTTGTTTGACATACTTTAATTACACTGTTTCATGTTACATACAGAACACAGAAGGTTGCCGGAGTGACATTTCTCAAAGAATAATCACTTACCCATCATTCTGCTGAGGAGAAAGCTGATCCTGTTCTGTTAACTGATTCTGTTGCTTTTGTTTTTTAACTATGAAATAAAACAAAGCTCATATAAGCATCATCCAGAAGCCAGACTTCTTACTTCCTTGAAGGCCAATGACTTTCTCTCTCTCTCACACACACACACACACACACACACATCCACATATCATTGCCATTAGAGTTAACCTTCACTGACTTGATATAACCAGAAGGAAGACCCATATGAAGTTGGAATTTGGAAAGGTCCAAACCATGTAATATTTTACTCAAGATGTCCAAGTTTAGAACTGGAACTGGCTCTCATCCCAACGTTATCAAGTACTGATAACTTGAGGTGCTAAGCAGAGTCATCTCCTGGGAAGGATTGGGAATTAATAGCCAGTTCACTGTGTTGCTTCTCAAACAACAGGGTTCATTTTCTTGTGTAAAGTTCATTCTCCAAACTACTTTAAACAACTCTCTGAATCTCAATCTCCTACTAGTTTAACAAACCCTTTCATTATAAATAGTATAAAGTAAATATAAGCCCCATTCCCTGCAAAAATCAACACAAAATCGAGTTAATGAGCTGTTACTATACTACTTGTTCTGAAGAATGCATGTTTAAATTTACCTGTCATAAGTTCCTGTTGCTTCAGCAAAATATTTCTTATTTCTTTTACCCATGACATCTTTACATCTACATTAGGAGCCTAAAGATCAAAAAGGAAAGAGGGGACACATTTTCTTTTAAAATGGATGGTCTATAATAAAACAAATGTAATTAAGTATATTGAACATAATCTACTCCCTAAAACACCACATTCAAATTCAAACCTTTTGATTCATAAAATTTCTAAGAATAAAATCACTAGCCATCAGATTAGATGAAATAATACAATCAAAACTATTTTTAAATTGCCCTTAAATAATGGAATGGTAATGCTTACGTAAAAATGTGAATTCCACTTATTTTTTCTTTTCAGGAGGCTTCTTTTTAAAATATCATGTTTTCTTCTAATATTTTTATGTTTAATTTTAGTAAAATAAAACAAGCTCTACTAGTTCTGAAAAGATAATCTATTGCAGAATAATCTTAGTGACTGATGATAACATGAAAGCCTCCTTCGATATCCTCCCATTACTTACAAGATAAGTTTGTTAAATGATACCAAGTATTGTATCTCAAGCAAACCAAGAAAATATATTTTTATGGACTGTAGTTACGTAGTACAGAATTAAAACAAAAAACACTGAGCATTTTCAACAGATGACAGCACATTGACAGGTTGTGATACAAATATTTATTGAAATGACAACATCCTCTTAAAATGTTCTGATTCCTCTCCCCTTTCCTGAAAACAGGTTGGACCTTATAGCACATCTGGCCAGGGCTTTACCCACGTTCTATAGAAGCAAGGAGCAAGTCTAAATTATCGCATGGCCGTGTCTTGTAATCAAGTACCGTGTGAATGTTGAGCACATGAGGAAATGAGAACTGTTATAATTTCATAACTCTGGAAACTTGACAGGGACAGAGAAGTACCTGCCAAGCTGTCTGCGCTAGTTGATAAGTCTCCTAGTGTAGTTGTGAAAACTTGAAGCCCTAGAGAATACCACAGGTATATCTCAATTTAAAGAAAACATGTGCTACCAGAAAAAATATTTTAATACCTCACAAAGAATATTCAAATAATATTTTCGTGACCTACATAAAAGGAATGGAAGTTTGTGATATGTGACCAAAATTATTTTTGTTTGCAAATTCAGACTTTTGAATGTTAACGCAACTTTCGGTTTCCAGAAGAATTTTTAAATGACCAACCTGGACAATATAAGCTTCTTCTTTCCCACCATACCAGATTTCAAACTTGCGGTTATCACCTTTTACATATTCGGTGATTCCAACTTCATCCATCTATAATAAATAAGTCAAAATTTTGATAAGCATTTTGACTATGAAATTACATTAAATTTATCCCATCGTATTGTAAATGAAACAGAATTTCCAACTTGGGCAAAATACACATTTTATATTCAATGAGTATGAAATGACAAGTACAATCACAGACAAGAATATTTACAGTTTTTCATTAAATGATGCACTTTATAGTTCAGACTGCATGTTCCATTCCAGTGATTGGCACAAATGTTATAAATCTGAACATCTAAGTAACCCATCTATGATTCAATTCTTATAAATTAACTTATACTATTAAAACAAATTATTATGTCAAACACAGAAGTAATTAAACATCAGTGAAAAATGCCAATCCAAATTAACTTAAATTGTTATTTAAAATAATCATTTGCCGGATCAGTTCATCTTAAAAATGATTACTTATCTCGATAGAAGCCCTACATGTAATAAACATCCAATTTATGGGGCAAGGGAGAACCAGCCGGTACACAAGGATCTATTTCCACCAATCCCTTAGACTCTCTGGAAAACAATGTCATGAGAAAGTGATGTCTCCTTGTAGCCAGTGAAACTTTTGTGTGCAATATCTCTCCCTTACCACAGTTTTTCTTCTCCTCCATATGATTGTGCAAAGTATGAACTCTTCCATTTTCTTTCATCATTTGCTGCTAATAGCTTGGTTAATTCCACTTTGAGATATTTCACCCCCTTGTACACATTCTTTTGTAGTTCCTTTCTACCTTTCCTCTTTTCTTTCAATTCCTATCTATTTATGTAAAGGAATATCTCACTCTCTGTTCCAATTATGAGCCCCCCAAATGATCCTAATTAGAGCTGATAAGCATTGAAAATAGTGCTAGTGAGCTCCTTATACCAAGAAGGAAAGCAATTATGCTTAGATATGAAATGTAACTTATTAAAGAGCCTGTGATATCCACCCTGAAAGTAGTCAGAAGTTACTTTTAGAATGTCCCAAAATATTTTTATATTCTTACTCCACAACTCTAACCTACTTCTGCTCAAATATCAGAATTTAAGATAAATAATAATCATCTCATATTCAATCTTTTTAAAAGTTACTTTTGTTTCATTATATGGTTTTGTCTTTTTTCATTTTCTTTATTTCAATACATTTAAAGGTATAGTGGTTTTTGGTTACATGGATGAATCATATAGCCGTGAAGTTGGGCTTTTAATGTACCCACATGACAAACTGTAAAGCACACAGGCTTTGGAGTTACAGAGGCCTGGGTGGCAATTCCATCTCTACCACTCATTAGCTATGTGTCTTGGTGCAAGTTGCTTAACTTTTCTAAACTTCAGTTTCCTCAACTATATAAAATGGGAAGAACACCTATTTCATAGAGTTGATATAAAAATGAAATAGCACCCCTTAAAATTTTGAAATAAATAGTGCATATTAAATGTTTAGATTATATAATAAGGTTTTAAAAGTATACATTTGCTTTCTATTCTTTCCATTTGAATTGTAATAATTTTATTATTTTTCTTTGCAAACATATAGCACATCATTATTGATTAAATGAATGTTTTTGAGTTTCCTGGAAATCTAACCATTATGTCTGGCACATAGCACTATGTGCATGTTTGTTTTAAAAAATAGATGATAATAATAAACACATGAACTGAGGAATCTGAAGAACTTAAATCTTTCCATCTGTTTAATGTGACTTTAGATAGAGCCTTTCTTTGCATATAAGTGGCTGACTTAAAATATAGCACATAGTCATTAGAAAGTACATGGTCAGGCCATGGGATTCCAGCATGCTATGATGCAGTCAAGACCAGAGTCCATTTAAAGTGAGAGAGAAGTTGCTCAGCAGCAGAGTATCTGTGCTGATCCTCTCTATCAAGGGGTTAAGATTTTGAAACCAACAACCGTAATTGTTAAGTAACACATTGATGAGTAATGCTAGCAATTGCTTAATGCTAGAATCTCATGATAGGTAAGCATGAGGACATAAGCACAGTTAGCACTAAGAAATATCCTAATGTTCATCTTTCTCAGTCAGCGACATCACTGTTTTCCCAGGAATCCTGTCCAAAGCCTTGTAGGTATCATTAGTCTTTTTTATTAAGGATGCTAGGTATTATTGGGGAACCAAAAAGAACCAGACAGATTTTCTTCCTTCAAATGTCAGATATTATTTATTTCCTCTAACTAGTAAGTCACCAAGCCCATATGTCTACCTTCCATTGAAATGTTTCTCATATCTCCGACCCTGTTTCCATGGAATCATTGTAGTTTCAATTCTCCTGACTTCATCACCTCATACTCGTCCCTCCTTACCTTAAGGTACTTGAGAAACATTCTTTTGGCATGCCCATCATTGTGACAAATTAAAGGTAAAATAAAAAATCAATACAAATTAGCAATACTATAGAAACTAGGTCACCCCACATGAAAAATGTAAATCAAATGGTTTTGGGTCAAACATGCCTATGAAGGTAAAATACCTTCCCAGGGAATAGGTATATAGACAGCAAGAGATCTGAACCCTGCAAGTTCTTGGTTCTCAACCACAACATGAGAGACCCTTAGAGATTTAGGAGCTGGGAGGTGGACTGCTAATATCAAAGAAGCACCTGGGCAACTGTGATCAAAACAGTCAAGAGTTTTAAAGAAGCTGTGAAGCTACTGTACATTCAGAAGTGAAGCAGGGAAAACAGATAATAGGAAGAGCGACTTCCTCCTCACCTGGCCCTGAGGAGGAACATTGTCAGGAGCAGCTATGGGCTGCAGAACCTATTGGAACAATCAAAAGCAGGGCCTGCTTATCTGGTAGCCTCGTAAGACAAACACCTCAGGCCTATCTCAGGATATGTTGCCTGTCCTATTTGTAACTGCCGTTGAAAATTTCATCAACTCTCAAATATACTGGTGATGACAACTATGAAAGAACACGCTCATGAAAAATGACTAAAGTGATAGCGGAAAAATTCAGGTTCAAGATGGCTGACCAGAGACATCACTTGTCGAACCATCCCAGTGGGAAGGCAAGATATGGGATAGAGGAGAGGAGAGAAGAGTCACAACTAAGGTGTGGGTCACAGAGAGAGATGCCAAAGACAGCTGGAGACCAGAGAGAGAAAATCTGTGAAGCCGAAAAAAAAGAAGATAAAGAGGAAAAGGTATCAGTGAGGATGAAACCCAGAGAGGCTCAGAGCTCAGTGAAAGGGTAAGGGGGGATTCCCTTGCCTCTCCTACATCATGCCTCAGTTGGGCAGCAGGACACTAAGTTTACTGAAGGCTTTTCCACCTCCACAAGCCCAGACATGGCAGAAAATAAGGAATAGTGGGGTGAACTAGAGAGCCCCAGGAGTTTGGGCAGCCCATGAGGGGCTCCCCGCAGAAAAGTGCCACAAGAGGCCAGAGTGCCACCTTTCTCCCATCCAGACACTTCCTCCCCGACCCCTCCCCTGTCCACTGCAACCTGAGAAAACAGGTAGAGCTCGGGCTGACCAGGTGCTGCAGCCCCTCACCCGACTCGTTAAAACAGGGAGAACAGTTTCAGTCCAGAATCACCAAGTGGCCATTTCTCTCCAGCGGGCGCGTGCTTCAGGTTGAGGTCCCCACAGATAGTGGGGATCACACATCTTCCTTTGAGGACTTGTAGTGGAACAGGGTGCACAATTGTGGTACTCCCTGCCCACCAGCATTTGGTTTCCTGGAGATGCACGCTAGTGGGTCAGACACACAGACCAGGGACAGGCTTCAGAGCTGGACTCCGGTGGTGAGAGCTGGACTAAACTGACGGGAATGTGCTGTGGGCATCCAAGGAGTGGTGACTTGGGGTGTGCACACTCCTCCCTTCATAAAAACTGTGTCACGGGATAAAGGCGGAAAGATCCCAGCCTGGGGCCTTAGCACTCAAGGGACTAGGCCCCTCCCCCCACGAACAGCCCTCCTGATTTGGAGAGCTTATCCTGACCCGCCTACCAGTAGCTCCCCCTAGTGGCCAGAAAAGCAATTTCTGAGCAGCACCAAGGGTTTGCAAAGCCTTTTGGGCTCCTACAACCTAGCAACGGACTGCCTTGCTCCTCCCTCCACCTCAGTGGTGGTGGAGATTAAGCAACACCCTGGGAGCTACAGGGTCTTTCCTAAACCTTGGGGCACTCAAGTACTCCACCTGGGGGACAAGGGTTTACCATGGGGACAAAAGAACATCTCAGCAGCTGGCTCTTTCACACAAACATTAACCTATGACAGGGAGAACAACTATATAGCTCATTATAGCATCACCCAACTCAAGCAAACAGGGCATAGCTGATTCGTAATCACAAGTACCATCAGTCATATCAGATGTTAAGCTGGGGGACCCAACACAATTCACAGTACTAGGAAGAGGTGAAGACAGCAGGACAAAGGCAATCTGAGAGGACCATCAAACCTGCTTGAACACCCCACAGGCAATTCGGGACCAGCACTCTCCTCCCTGGCACAGTCAAGTGTTGATCTTCAAGGTCCTGGGGACAGGCCCGCAAGCCAGACCCAGTACCCCCAGGACTCAATCAAAAGGCCACATAAAAAGGAATCAGTGAAAGAACTCCAGAAGTATGAAAATTCAGAACGAAAGTATACCCCCAAAAGGAAACAACAACTCTTTACGAATGGATACCAACCAAAACGAAAATATCAAAATGACAGATAAAAAATTCCAAATTTGGATTATAAGGAAACTCAGCAAAATATGAGAGAAAATGAAAAACCAGCACAAAGAAACCACAAAAACAATATAGGAAATGAATGAAGAATTCATTAAAGAAATCAAATTATTAAAAAAGAATCAAATAGAGCTTATAGAAATGAAAAATTCATTCAAGGAAATACAAAACACAGTGGAAAGTTTTAAGAATAGACCACGCAGAAGAATCTCAGAGCTTGAAGAAAACACCTTCAAACTAAACAAGTCAGTCAAAGATAAAGAACAGAGAAATAAAATGAACAAAGCCTACAAGAAATATGGGATTATGTAATGAGGCCAAACATAATAATCATAGGCACCTGAGGGTAAAGAAAAAAACACACAAGGGTTGGAAAACCTATGTGAGGGAATAAATGAAAAAAACTTCCCTGATCTTGCTAGAAATTTAGATATCCAGGTACAAGAAGATCAACAAACACCTGGGAGATTCACTGCAAAAAGGCAATCACCATGTCACATAGTCATCAGACTGGCCAACATTAAAATGAAGGAGGAACTCCAGTGAGGCGAAAGCATCAAGTAAACTACAAAGTAAAACCCATCATACTAACTGCAGACTTCTCACCTGAGGCCTTACAAACCAGAAGGGATTAGGGCCCCACCTTCAATCTTCTTAAACAGAACTGCCAGCCTAGAATTTTGTATCCTGCAAAACTAAGTTTGTTATATGAAGAGGAAATAGACTTTTTCAGACAAGTGAACACTGAGACCATTCTTCTCAGTGAAGTATCACAAGAATGGAAAAATAAACACCACGTGTAGTCACCCTTAAATTGGAACTAATAGATCAACACTTATGTGCACACATGGAAATGACACTCATCGGAAATCAAGCAGGTGGGAGGGAGAGGAGGGCATGGGTAAATTCACACCTAACAGGTACAGTGCATGCTTATCTAGGGGATGGGCACACTTATAACTTTGATTCAAATGGTGCAAAAGCAATTTATGAACCAAAACGTTTGTACCCCCGTAATATTCTGGGGGAAAAAAGATATCAGCCTAGGCAAAGAATTTATGAGGAAGACTCCAATGGCAATCACGGGAGCAACAAAAATAAATAAATGGGACTTGATTAAATTAAAAAGCTTCTGCACAGCCAGGGAAACAATCATTAGAGCGAACAGACAAACTACAGAATGGGAGAAAGTATTTGCATGCTATACATCCAATAAAAGGCTAATAACCAGAATCTAGAAAGAACTCAAGCAAATCAGCAAGAAAAAAAAAATCAAACAACCCCATTAAAAAGTGGGCAAAAGACATGAACAGAAAAATAGACAAGTGGCCAATAAACATATGAAAAAATGCTCGAGGTCACTAATCATCAGGGAAACACAAATTAAAACAACAATGAGATATCACCTAACCTCAGTAAGAATGGCTTTTATCAAAGAGTCCCAAAACAATAGATGCTTGCATGGATGTGGAGAGATAGGAACACTCATACACTGCTGGTAGGACTGAAAACTAGTTCAATCTCTATGGAAAGTAATATGGAGATCCCTCAAAGAACTAAATATAGACCTACCATTTGATCCAACAATCCCACTACTGGGTATTTACCCATAAGGGAAAAAAAAAAGACATTTTATAATAAAGACATCTGCACTCGAATGTTTATAGCAGCACAATTCACAGTTGCAAAGATGTGGAATCAACTCAAATGCCCATCAACTTATGAGTGGATTAATAAAATGTGGTGTGTATACACACACACACACAAACACACACACACACATATACCATGGAGTACTACTCAGCCATAAAAAATGAATTAATACCTTTTACAACAATCTGGATGGAACTGGAGACCATTTTCCTAAGTGAAGTATGTCAAGAATGGAAAGACAAACACCACACGTACTCACTATTAAATTGGAACTAACCGAACAGCATGTGTGCACAGTAGGAAGTAAAACTCATTGCAAATCAAGCAGGTAGGAGGGGGGAAGAGGGGTGAAATCATACCTAACAGGTACAATGTACACTGTCTGGATGATGAGAACACTTATAACTTTGTCTCAAGCAGTACAAAAGTAATCGACATAACCAAAACTTTTGTACTCTTGTAATATTCTGAAATTTAAAAAAAATAAAGTCACAGTGGTTGGGGAATTGAGGGTAATAACTTTATCTATTTTCCAAATTTTCTATAACAAATGTTATATTGCTTTTAGAATTTAAAACTTGAAAGATAAAATTCATTGGGTATAAAAAAATCTAATTTATGAAATACAGCCTCATGTGAATTGGAAGTTCCTCTTCTCTAACGGCAAAACTAGCTGGAAGTATCACTGAGTTGCCGGTGTCTTCCTCAAATCATTGCTCTCATTTTAATCAAACTAATATTAGGACAAAATGGCAGTTTTATTTATAGGAGAGAATAAAGTAATTTCAAAGGATACGACAGGACAGGTGTAAAAAGGATTCAGCGGTATGTGGCTTTGGACACCCAGTAAGGGTGAAGCTAAGGAATGGAGGAGGGACACAGAAAGGAACCTGGGAATATGCTAAGCACAAACATTATCCATTTTTAAATTGCATTGAGGAAAAGGAAGACACTCTTTCCTCCATGTCTCACCTGTGGCAAATGGCTCCTTGCTAACAACACCAAGAATTCCACCCAGTATCACTGGTAAGACAGTGATCCTGGGGGAGACTGGGACACTCCCCATAATTTCAAACTGTGCTCTGCAGGATGCTAGTGGACCCCTGGGGCAATGCCTAGGATTGTAGTGAGAGCAGAAAGGATTTGATTTCTATCAAACCTATATGTATTCCCTCACTCTTGAGAATTTTAAGCAGAGAAGTTCTGCTTTACCTGACTTCTACATAAGACTTCTAATTAAGATTCTTTTAAACAAAGAGATGTGCAGCTAAAGTATGAAACCCATTCATTTGAAACAGAAAAGTTTTTACAAACTAGGATACACATGCATACACACACAAAATAATATTACATTACACAATTCAAATTGTCTTACTTTCAAGCAGTGCTTAAAACTGTATGACGGGTATCTATCAGCGCCCTCTCCACTTTCAACACGTCTTTTACAAAAAATAATGGCTTTCTCATACAAGAAAAGGTGTCGCTGCATTGGTTTGAATCTAGCAAAATCCTTCATTTTTGTAGCACCTTTCCTGTGTCCTATCCAAACACTGAATCCACCTTGTATTATCATCTTGCCCAGCTCATTTAAGTTTCCCTAGAATGGAAAATCAAAACCCATTAGTACAAAGCAGAGCTACATTCAGATCTCTGACATCAGCATTTTAGCGTTTAGCTTGAGCTACTAAAACTCTCAAGCATAATTTATATGTTTTTTAAAAATATATTCATTCTATCTTTTTACATTAAAACATGCATCACCTATGTACAAAGTTCTGTGGGGCAAAAGATAAAAGAAACTTCCTTTTCCCTGGCTTCACATCATCTCCATGTGGCAGTATTTCAGCTAGCCTAACTCTCCCCATGGCTTCCTCAATCTTATTGGTTTCCCCACTGGGGAGAGCTAATCTGTTAAAAGGCTGCAAGCTCTAAAGATGTGATCCTTTGCCACCCTATCTACACTGGACCAGGGCAAGCAGCAATTCTGGGACAATATGTCTCCCTTGAGGTCCGGACTTGGGGGCAGGCTGTTGAGGACAAGGGGAATCTCAGAAATCCATTTGGCTGATCTAAAGCCAATTCTCCACTTAGTATTATCAATAATAATGCTAACATTTTGATCTCCATTTATCTGCTTCTTATACGTTATTTCTCAATTGGTTCCAGAAGCAGAGGAAAGGGTTATTGATATTGCTGACCTCCTAAAATTCCAACAATTATTAATATCTACTTACAATATACCCATTTATTGCGATCTGATGCATGGAGTCATTAACTGACTTCAGTAAATCGAGCATTGTGTCAAGTGCCTCTTTTAACTGAGCAGATCCTTCACAGTCTTTGCTATATTTTAATAGCTCCTGTAATTAGAAATCAGGAATTAAACCAAAATTAGGCAGATATTAATAGCTGGTGAAAATGAATAAGCTTTGACTAACATGCTTTCAAGCAGGAATCCAAAGATAATGTCACTTTTTGGAGTAATTTCTTTTATATGCTCTTTGTTGAGTTAATACTATTTTTAATAACAATGTCAAAATTGGGAAAGAAGTAAAACAGCAACTGAAAAGTATAAAACAAAGGGTATTCAACGCTTTTGGAGCCGAAGAATAATAGCTATTGAGATACATTAGAGATTAGTTTTTAATGCAATTACACAGGTTTTTTCATCCTCTACGTACAACAATTTGTTTTACATGATGCATATAGCATAGAACACTATGGAAATACATTTTAAAACAAGCTACATTGTATTTATACTTAACACAAGATTTCAGTCATCCTTTCACATTACACTAAGGGAATGTCATTTGCATCTTTCATTGAGAAGGCCTATATGAAATACAGCCTCAAAACTATAAAAAATATTTGTTTAGTTCTTAACAATATTAAAAGTTCTTCCATAAAATATTATGCATAAATCAATACAACTTGTTTGAAGAATTAAATAGCTAAGACTCCAAATAGTCACAGCCTAACATCTATGCCTATGACATGTGCATAGCCACAGTGAATGGAAGGAACACGCTGCACTAATTCTACTGCTAAATCCAGCCCTCCCAGTCATTGAGCCTACCTATTTCTAGTGCCTATTAGTCAGCTACTTCCTTTTTAATTGCTTTGCCATATCTGACCCAAAACAGCAAAGAAGGAAACAAATGTTTTACATAATTACCTTCAACAGTAACTGGTATTTAGTGATTCGTTGCACTGGTTTGAGTAAATAGGAATCCAGACCAAGTCTGTGGTTTAATTTTCTTTGACATTCCTGTCATTGAAAGATAATTATCAATAAATTTAAATTAGGACATGTACCTGTGAAAATGCCAAGTGTTCACTGACTAAACTCAATGCATCAATGTTTCTTTTTTTTTTTTTTTTTGAGACAGAGTCTCACTCTTTTGCCCCGGCTAGAGTGAGTGCCGTGGCGTCAGCCTAGCTCACAGCAACCTCAAACTCCTGGGCTCAAGCAATCCTTCTGCCTCAGTCTCCCAAGTAGCTGGGACTACAGGCATGCACCACCATGCCCGGCTAATTTTTCTTTTTTTTCTATATATTTTTAGTTGTCCGATTAATTTCTTTCTTTTTTAGTAGAGACAGGGTCTCGCTCTTGCTCAGGCTGGTTTCGAACTCCTGAGCTCAAACAATCCATCCTCCTCGGCCTCCCAGAGTGCTAGGATTACAGGCGTGAGCCACCGCGCCCGGCTGCATCAATGTTTTTTAAATCTCAAAGAAAACTGATCAGAAAAATCACTGGTATATATGGTATGGAAATTATAAGACAGTATATCTGAGAAACTACATTTTATGGATTTAGAAGATAGAAAATTCCAACATTTTAAAGATTGAAAGGTTTTCACATATAATTCACAGTGATGTGGAATGCTTAATAGTTGAGAAAGCAAGGAATGACTCTAAATTAACATGATTAAAAAGTTCTTCAATATATCTAAGAAAATTAGCAAAAGATTAAGCTCCACAGGCCAAGGCCCAGAAAAGAAATAGGTTGTGCTGAATATAAATCAGACTGGATATGAGAACAAAATTTTTTAATATCACAAGAAACATACAATCCTCATCAACTCATGCTATATTTCATCCAGTAATTGGCCCACTGCCACTATAAATAGAAGGGTCATGGCACTGGGTCCTGGGAACATTGTAGGACCCATAATTAGGGCAAGATGGAGCTGCTTAGGATGAAATGTGTGTACAGAAAGTACAGAACAAAAAGGGATTAGGGAAGGATATACCTGAATAAGATCTAGGGCCCTCCTCTGGATATAGATAAAATCCAACATACAACCTAATTCAAACAAGAATTATCAATTTATAGTTAAAGATGGTGGACTGATACATGCACTTAGATCTCCTCACTTGTGAAACCCAACTAAAATGATGGAAAAGTTGTTTTTTAAAGGCAAGAAATCAAAGATACATAGAAAATGAGAAAGGAGAAAACTTCAGCAAAATTTAGAAACTGGAAACCAAACTGACAAGTGGTAAACAACTAAGCACACTGGAGAAAAGTGAATTTCAAGTCGGCAGAGGGAAAAGCCAAGGAACAATTCAATTTATGTCCTTCCTCTCCACAAAGACTCAGGGATTATAGAGCAAATACCTCTGAAAGTGGGAGATGAAGTTCACAAAAGTATGGTTGTTGAAAGTCTGTTTAAGAAGTAATTAGGTAATAACAAGTGTCGGTGAGTGTGTGGAGCAATCAGTACCCTCATACACTGCTGGTAGAAATGTAAAATGGTGCAGTAACTTTGGAAACAGTCCAGCAGTTTCTCAAAAAGTTAGACATAGAGTTACCACATGACCCAGCAATTTCACTTCCAGATATATAGCCAAGAGAAATGAAAACTCATGTCTACACAAAAACTTGTACAAAACTTTCATAGCAGCATTGTTCATAATAACCAAAAGGTGGAAACACAAATGTCCATCACTTGATGAATGGATGTGATATATCCATATAATGGAATATTATTCAGCCATAAAAAAGGAATAAAAAGCTGATACATGCTAAAAACATAAATGAACCTTGAAAACATTACGCTAAGTTAAAGAAGTTAAACACAAAAGACCACATGTTATATGATTCCATTTATATGAAATGTCCAGAATAGGCAAATCTATAGAGAAAACAAGTAGATTAACGGTTGCCTAGGGCTATGGGGATTGGAGAGAAATGGGGGGGGCGACTGCTAAAAGATATAGGGTTTCTTTTTGGAGTGATAAAAATGTTCTTAAATTGGCTGTGGTGATGGTTGTACAACCTTGTGAATATAGTAAAATCACTAAATTTTATATTTTAAAGGGTGAATTTTATGGCATTTTAATTATATCTCAATAAAGCTGTTACCAAAAAAAATTAAATGGGCATGAAAATCTAAACAGAAAGCAATAAGTTTCTCAGATAACTATACCACTCTTCACAACTGGGTGACTGCCCTTCTCTCCCCTTGGCAGAAGAATGAATGTTTATCCAGAAAGAATAAAATGGAAGGTCGGTGGAGTAAAGGAGACAAGGTCCGATTGAGGGCAGAGTGCCATTTTGAAAACAAGGAGAATACTTGAATATTTACCTACCAAATTAGAGACCCTCAGCCTTTTCCCCACACTTAGCTACCACAACACTGGCAGCCAGGTCCTTATACCCAAGGTAGCAGTTTAGGGAGTCTGACCAGCCTAAGAGCAAGGACCTAAAAATACCAGTATTAGGAAATCCCTGCATGGAAACATCGTATGACAAATCACTCGACAATGAGGATGATGGTCAATAAACCCACACATGCACTGGAAACTTCCAATGAGCTTTCTAGTGCTTACTCCTAATGTAAGTAGATAGACAAGTATCACTAGACATTTGAGGATAGCATCTAAGATGAGTGACAAGAATCAAATGAAGTAAAAGGGAAAAAGTTTAAAAAAAAATTGAAGGCAACAGAAACCATGTAGGGAAAAGACAGCCATTTTTAAAAGGAAAATCTATTATTATCTTTGAATAGATAAATGAAGATATTGAATTCACGATGAAAATAGTATTCTATTAAAAGGAACATTGAGGGAACAAAAAAAAAAGAGGGCTCTTCAAAATGAAAAATATAATGGCAGAAATGAAACCCTCAATAGAAGAACTGGAATATAAATCCCAGAAAGTAGAATAAGAAGACAAAGAATGGAAAATAGAAAGAAAAGATAAGATTATTAGAGAACTTGTCCAGGATATCCAAAGTCTGTACAATAGAAATTCCAGAAAGAGAGAATGGGGGAAATTGGATGGAGGAAATTAAAAAAAAAGTCTGAGTCAATCTGAACAAGCATTTCCAAATTCAAAGTGATCACCATGAGACTAGCATAATGGATGAAAATAGTGCCAACATTTGAACCCTGAGGATAAAAGAAGTTCCCGCAAGCTTTCGGAAGACAAAAATTAGGTCACCTGAAAAAGAAAAAAAAATCAAAATAGCATCAAATTTCTGAACAGCAACACTGGAAGCTACAAGAAAATGGAGCAAAACTTTCAAAATTCTGAGTATAATTATTTCTTACCTAGAGTTCTATAGCCAGCCAAGCTAGCAATCAAGTGTTAGGTAGAATAAAGACATTTGCAGACACGTACACTCTCAAAAATTGTTATCTACTGTGCACACTTTCGCAGTAAAACTACTGGAGGCTGTGTTCCACCAAACAAGAGAGATAAACAAGAAAGATGGAAACATGGCACCTAGGAAGCAAGAGACCCTATGGAACAGACAAGTGAAGAGAATCCCCATGGTGATATTCACCAAGATTCCCAAAGGACAGCTGTGCAACAGGCCAGGTGAGTCTAGATAAGCAGGTCAGAAAATTCCAGGAGAGATTCCTTCAAGAAGATGAAATTCAGAAAAAATCAAACGTGTTTAAATTCACCGAGAAGATTTTTATAACTCTCACAACTGGGAGAGGTTGGGGTAGAATACGGATAAGAACCTAGAAAACTGAGTAAAAAGACAATTGCAAGGCAAATAAATGGGAAGGGAAAGCAACCATAACATACCACATGACTCATTTGAGCAGAGAAATTACATAGTCTTAATAAATTAACACTGTATATCAATCTAATGAAAATTATAATCTAACTATATCGGAAGAAAAGCATTTGTGTATGTGGTCGTGGGGTGCAAATCAGTGAAAGAGAGTTACATTCTCCCCTTCCATGGTAGAAAGGAGGAAGATAAGCATGTCATTTGGAGATATGGAAGTAAATACCAAAAGATGTAGCTAGAAGTACTGAAAGCAGGTGCATCTAGGCAGCAGCAAATACGTGTTTGTGTGCATGTGTATGTGTTTTGGGGAGGATAGAATTGCTCTTTAACTTATATGCATATGTAACTTAAAGTCAAAAATGAATTTATAAATAAGAAATATCCCAATATCTTCCAGAAAGAGTATATCCAATACTTGAATAATTACTTTACCTGGAAAAAGGCGCATTCTGAATACTTCTTCCAAATCGTCTCTGATCTGGGCTTATTCTGACAATATTTTGCATACATCTGAAAATCATCCTTCTGTGATAAACAGCAAATTCAAACATATTACCAATCTGTGAACATGAACTTTTGTCATCAAGAAAGGCTGAGCAAGAGTAAGTATGGCCAAGCATCCCAGGGAATGTGGCCTAAAGGGCCTGCTGTACCGGCAGCTGGTCAGGAGCCCTCTTTGTATTCCAAGAATGGCATGTTCATTGGACCTGGTGGAGGGACACATAATTATCCAAGTGGTATTAGACCTTCCACTTACCAAGCTTGAGACTTAGATGAAGAAAAGCCTTCTGTCTCATCTATAAAAACAGACTATTTTTTTCATAACTGTGAGTTAATAAGATACCAAGAAATATATTTTTTCCATGTCATTAGTCCCTCCATTCTCTAGTAAATGAACTATTGTAGCTAACTTCCAAGTTAGAGCCAGCAGTCTTGGTTTATCACTGAGACATTATAATTGTACCATAACCCATCTAGGTATCCGCCCGTGCTATGCTCTCTTCATCTTTCTCTGACCCTCATCTAACGGGCTACCTCCTATTTATTCTTTAACATTCATTTCATGAGCCATCTCTTCCATAAAGCCACTGTTTACACTCCCAGTCTATGTAAAATACCCCTCTTCTGGGCCCCTCTAGGGCCCTTTGCATATCTCTAATATAGAGCAACTCACTCTGTACACAATTAATGATTTCCCTGTTTTTATACCTAAATTGTCTGGGGCTTGGCATCCACACTGCCTAGCACAGTGTTCGGTACATAGCAGGTGTTCGGTAGATGGCTACTGAATAAATGAACATATCATCAATAAACATTTACTAAATTACTACTGGTTGTCAAGAACTCTGCTAATCTTATGACAGATACAAAAATATATAGGATATGAACCTTGGCTCTAAGGGCTCCCCTTCAAGTTGGAGAAAGAATTCATGTGTACGTGTAAAGATGCACAGTAAATGTAAAATCTCCAATGAGGAACATAGATATTAATGTTCTACAAAATCCAAAGGGCATATAGATGCTGTTGCTTGAGGAAGGTGGGGAAGCATTTGGTCACAGTTTAAATGTGTTTAAAGTTGGAGCATATTGAGACAGGTAATGACACACGGTTCTTTCTTAACCTTATTCTCTTCTCATTTCATAAACACTTTCTGGGATAAGATATCTATTTTGAAGCTTTCAACAACCTCCTCTAACGAATTGATTCCCAAATCAAGACAAAACTGATCTTTCAGGAAGAGGAAGAACTAGATAAGCAGGGAAGCATATGCAAAAATTATTCCGAGAGAAAACTCTAACGGAGGAGAGGATGATAACTAAGCTGGGAAGTCAATTGTACTAAGCACACTCTTGGGACATGGAGTAATAAGCCTCCCTGAATGATTTTATTGAATAAGAAGAATCAACAGCTCTGCTTTTGTGAAGTTCCTGTGACAGATGCCTTGGTGCCTGAAAGCCAGAATAGATTCAATTCTAAGACTCTCCATGTATTAGAGGGAAACAACAAAGCATCTTTTAGGCAAAAAATGAACCAAGCCCAGAATGGTTTTGCTAAGATGATCCCAACTGTCACATTTTTATAGTCAGGATGGTCCCTTGATTCCTAGGATCACCCAGGGGTTAGTGGTCATTAGCTGAGCCATTGAAGCATTTGATACCACAGAATACAACAGGCATTTGCATGTTCCGGGTACCCCGGTGTGTCAGTTTGTGCAACAGAACTTGGTTTGGCATTAAATACTTACTGGAGTGAAGTTTCTAAAAACACAAAGACATACAAAAAACAATATCCATCTTATCTCCAAATCTGTATTTATAAATCAGCTGCTATTTTGGTGGCCCATATTTACATATATTTTTTAAAATAATTTAACTAACCCTTTCCAGGAAACAAGGTCCCACTCTTTCTGGAGCGTCAGTGCAATTTTCCAGGCTGCTCATGAAAATGCTGTGAAAATTTTAGAGAAAAAAATATGGTATGATTTCATGTACAATATAATAACTGGTCAACAGCCCTTTAAATAATTTTATAAAAAAGAAATATTTGATTCAACAATTACATACCTGTTATGGAATTCATATATTTCTGCCATATTTCCAAAGAGAATGTCCTTTTTATTTCTCAGGAGAGGTGGCATAAGATCAAACATCTCTGGATTATCCATCTCTGCCCTATAGCCCTATCCAAAATAAATATATTTATGCATTTAAAAATCATTTGTATTCACATTTGATTGGGCCACCAAAGGTATAAGTACAGCAGAATATATAAGGGATTTTCAGGTAAAGTTGTTTGAATTTTAACATTCAAATGTCTTATTTCCCAAAGTTATCCATGACTTTTTTTTTTAGAAGGCAGGACAAGGAAGTCAAGGTTTTCCACTCGATAGGCAGAATAAAGTGACAACTCTGGCCTTCAGGGTAGCTTGTAGTGTAGGAAACAAAATAGAACCCTAATATGAAAAAATATATTACAGGTCGTCAACTTCTCCTTAAACTGGCAATGTGTTTAAGTTTTTCCAGACCAAATTAATATTATGACATTTTTGTCAAATGAATACTATTATCCCATTCTCAGTTCTTTACATCATAATCTCTCAATAGCACCCTGGGGATAATTATAACAATCTGCTGTATTCCTACAAGAACAGCTTCTCTCTTCTATAACATTTTCTGAATCAATCATTCCCACTACCGAGGGAAAACTTGAATATACACATTTAACCAACATGCAGCCTCAAACAATAGAAGAAATGCCCACTGCTGCCATGTGACAACTGAGGAAGGAGACAGAAATAGAAGATTACCCTACACTCTTTATAATGAATGAAGCAATGGATCATTCAGGAAAAGATGAGAAAAACACAACTTGAGTCACTCACCAACAAAACAGTAAATAGCTCTCGAACATATACCCTTTCAGTCTGTATCAGCTCATTTAGGACATGGCTAAAATGAAAAGACCATACTTAGTTATTTTCTTACTTGAGAATTATATTGCAATGTTTTAATTGTTATTATAAATTATCTAAGGTAGAAATAGTTAATGCATAAGGACTACCAATGGTTTGGGTTTTACCATGAAAATATGAAATTACTTTTTTTTTTTTTT